TTATAATAACAACCAAAAGAAAAATATTCTGTAAAGGCAATTTTTAACAAGAGAAATTGATTGTTTGCCCCAAACTCTGATTTTCTAATCCATCATCTTTGCAACCGAATGTCGTAGACCTTAGACATTTCAAAGTATGAATTCTGGTATAGATCAAATATTTAAAGGTTGAAATATTAAAGGTTCACACCATCAGGTTGGAAAAATAAAATTGATTGTTAAACTTTCCTGAAATTGAATAAAAAGGTTTTGCGCATCATGAAATCCTAGTTAAAAACTTAGAACACTGATGAGACCTTTATAACTCATAAAATTAATTCATAACAAACAGTTGCATTACATCATGTCCAATTGAAAAGCAGTTCATGCTAAATAATTTAATCTAGGCGGTGGAATAACGTATTAATCGGGCAGGTTGCAGTTTTATTTTCCTGACAGGTTGCAGCTTTATTTATCTGGCAGGTTGCAGTTTCATTCAGTTTTATTTATCTGGCAGGTTGCAGTTTTATTTTTCTGGCAGGTTGCAGTTTTATTTTTCATGGCAGGTTGCAGTTTTATTTATCTGGCAGGTTGCAATTTTATTTATCTGGCAGGTTGCAATTTTATTTTTCATGGCAGGTTGCAGTTCTATTTATCTGGCAGGTTGCAATTTTATTTTTCTAGCAGGTTGCAGTTTTTTTTTCATGGCAGGGTGCAGTTTTATTTATCTGGCAGGTTGCAGTTTTATTTATCTGGTAGGTTGTAATTTTATTTTTCTATCAGGTTGCAGTTTTATTTATCAGGCAGGTTGCAGTTTTATTCATTTGGAAGGATGCAGTTTTATTCATCTGGGAGGTTGCAGTTTTATTCATCTGGGAGGTTGCAGTTTTATTCATCTGGGGGGATGCAATACATATTAAACAGGTAGATTACAAAACAAAATAAGTCTCTGAGCTCTGTTAAAGAATAATAAGGAATTCGGGAAAAGATATAAATGTATAAATGCCATCTATAGGAACTTTTACTGTTCGGAATTTATTCAGTCGTTTTTCTTTCATTCATGGCTACCTGCACAGCTGTTTCCTTGTTTCCAATACTGTCCAAAGAGTATTTGTTCGTGACACTCTTCACAATTTTTTCTTTTAAGAGTTGTAGGTTGTCATTAAAGTATCATCCTTTGTGGATAATCCTCTATAATGCAGTTTGTTGGAATTTTGTTTAGTTTTACTTCGTCTTTCCACATTTGTTTCTCTTGGTCCTATTTTTAATCCTTTTTCCGATATTTGCATTCTTTGCAAAAACTTTAATTCTTTCGCCTTACTGTGTGGCTTACACATGTTACTTCCATATAGAGGGTGTCATGTCAGGTTCCCAACGATACCCTTTAAATATCCATGTTTTTCTCTTCAGTTTTTCTTACAATGTGGTTTCTCTTCTAAAGTGAGGTGCGGATTTCTACTGCAGAATCACTGGAGAGAAATCACCTTTCAAGCTAGAAAAAAAGATATCTTCCACATTATGGATCAAATACACATTTAAAGGATATCATTTTGAAGCGGGCATATCCTTCTGGAAATGAATTGCCACACAAAATACAACTAAAGTATACCTTTATACTTGTTTAATTCTGTTTTAATCTTTAACTTTGGAAAATATTGAACAATAAATATTTCAATAAATATTTCAATAAATATTTCAATAAATATTTCAATAAATATTTCAATGAATATTTCAATAAATATTTCAATAAATATTAAAAATATTTGAACTATGTGAATCACTGTGAAGGTTTCAACTCAAAGAAGAATTGAAATTGAATATCTTTTATGGAGTTTTCATCATATTTCATTACTCCCCTTCCCTCCCCCTATACAAAAAATGAAAAAAACATAATATTCTGATAAAAATCTGAACAACATATGTAAGTCATATTAAACTATAGCAATTGTTTAATTATCTTCCATTTGTAAAGAAATAAAAAAAATAATTAATAGTTTACAACATTTGCTACTTAAACTTAATTCTTTTTGGTAATTTTCCCTCTCAAAATATTAAAATATATTTGCATAGATTAATAACAAAACTATCGATAGAACACTAGATGTCGTCTTTTCAAGATTTAGAGGTTTTTCGTTAACTCCTGCACGCTCTCTCGTTTTATTGTAACGCGGCATGCACGTAGCTATGTTTGGCCCCTGCCCCAGGTTATTAGGAACGAAAACGCCTATTTTTTGAAAAGACGACATCGAGTGTTTTATCTTTATTGTTATTAATCTATTGATAATTGCATTAAATTGCACAGTGCACAAAATTAAACATTAAACATCCAGTATTTAACTCTTGTCATCATCAACTTAACTTTTTCATTTTTTATCAAACTAAAAGTCTAAGAGAGTACATTTGTTCATTGTTAATTGTTTCTTAAAAATAAGTTTAATATACATACAATATATTATTTAAGTCAACACTTAGCCAAACTTTCATGCAAAGAAAATAATTTGAATAAAGTTTAAAATAAACTAGTCGGTTTTCAAGCTTAATTTTTATTGGCGACAAATTGTTCTGCAATTTCCTAGACTGTAGTCATGTTGTGTGTCTGTACCAAAAAATTGTGCGTGTGTGATACGGAACTCGTCTGCAAAGCAGTGCGACTAGCTTTCTCATCCCAGAACTGCGCCATTACCCTTCCCTTTATTCTTGTTCCCTGGTATCAAGTCATGTGTATATGTACATGCACAATGTACAATGTGTACAGTTTATGCGTATCTGTGCCCTTTTTAATACCAAATTAAGGAATAGCTGGCTAAAAGGTTTTTACAATGTTTTTTTTTCAAATAGAAATTGAATTTCATTTTTCTCTGTTATTTTACTAGAAGAGAAAGTAAATATCTATTCTAAGAGGGTATGAAGGCCAGCCACAACAATAATTCTCATCCGAGCCATATTCTCCGCATTTTCTCATCCGAGCCACCTCGAAATCCTCATCATTTGTTTATCATGTGTTTTTAAGTTTCTAATAATTTTCCCCATGGAATCAACCGAAAAAAATTTATGGTTTTCGCAATAATTAAGTTAAAAGAGTAAAGTTCTACAAACTTGGAATGCGCGTGAAAAAGGTGAATATTTTTAACACTTTAAAAAGATAATATTCGAAGGACGAGGATTTCGAGGTGGCTCGGACGAGATAATGAGGAGAATGTGGCTCGGACTAGAAATTGTTGTGGCTGGCCTTCCTCCCCTCATTCTAAACCTTCTTATATTTAAATTAAACGTCAGTTTTATTTTGCAAAAAAATGGATGCATTGTAAATATTCTGGTTTGCAGTTTTAGAATATTATTTTATATTCTGCAAGATTTAAATGAGCGAAAGGAAAAATATCATTATCATTATCATTATCATTATCATTATCATTATCATTATCATTGTCGATGTCCCATGTATTAAGAAATTACTGTTTTCCTGAGATTATTTGCTAGTTTACCTATCTATTAGTATTAAATAGCACAAAAATGTGCAACACATTTAGCCTGAAAATTTGTTTTTTTTGGGGGGGGGGGAAGGGCGTTTCATTTAAAAAATAAAATTAAACAAAATGGGGCACCCTCCCACTTGCCAGTTGCTAAATGTAAGCTTTTATTTTTTTAAACAAATGAAATATTTAAAAAAAAATTATTCTTTTTACCAAACACCCCTGTGAACGGATACAGTACAATGAGTACATTCCAAAAGGTTACTGCGTACATTGAGTATACATGATTGACTACAATCAAATTCAAATCAGCTGTTTATTCAAGTTAAAGCTTGTAGGTGTCCATCTCTTATGACCTATGTGGAATAGTTCGGTGCTTTAAAGGTAAAATCTTAGATTTATTGAATTGACTGTTGGGTATAAACCTTAAATATTTCTTTATACGTATATATCTAAAAATCGGATCCACACTTTTTTTTGGCGCATGGAAGTTTTTGAGTAAAATACGTATTTTGTAGGTACGGTCGGTCAGAAATATTTATTAGTTTTACTTGCTCTNATCTAAATAAATTGTGTATGTTTTTAGGATCTTTGTCTCAGCATATCTAGGCCAAAACCTTTTTGCGTCCTAATTTTCTCCAATCAATTCTTTTTAGGATTTCTGGCTTGTGACTAGAGAAAAACGCGCCTCAGCTTAAGCGTGTCAGCCTACTCGCCCTACATCCTACCTTCCTAGGGCTGGATTTACCCAGCGCCCGTTCTTTATATAGATAGTGGTCGTGTAGTTCACGCACTTTAGGGGACGATATGTTGGCCGCTAGATGTCTCATGCTAAATTCTTATCTGAGTCCGAATTCTCTCCATGAGAAAGTGTTCGTGTAGTTCACGTACGTTGGGGGGCGATATGTTGGCCGTTAGATGTCTCGCTAAAGTTTTATCTGATAGATAGATATTTCTCCGTACATTTGACGACCAAAATAGGAGACGTCAAGTTGTCGACCAATGTATTTATGGACGGAACGGCCTTTGATAGATCGATAATTTCTCCGTACACTTGACGACCAATATAGGAGACGTCAAGTTGTCGACCAATGTAGTTAATGGAAGGAACGGCCTNCACCATCACTCTGCTATAAAATAGTACCGGATATTCAAACCGTTTATAATTCCTAACATGTGCAATCTGAGAGCTTAACAATCCCAATAAAGATTGTAAATATTATGATTTTTCCATTCTAACTTATCCCTGTATTATCCCCTCCCCCTCCTACCAGAGCCCCCCTAGTAACTACCGGAGGTATAAGCTCCGTCGTCTGGGTTCTAAATTCTCTGTTGCTGCTGTTCAAAACTCTAGACAAAGAAGGTATCCCTCTCCTACCCTCATACACAGCTGAGGAACAGCTTCCCGCGCTCAACACAATGTTTTGATCGGAGCGCGCATGCGCACAAACTGTTTTTTTGGTCTGCTCACAACTGCCGCGGTGTGACGGCTCTCTCTCTCCTGTCCCTGTGTATAATGATTGTTCACTGTTCTTCTCTCCAGTTATAATACGATCTCTGAGTTAGACGGAAGAGAGGAGACACAGTTGTTGCCACACCACGGAGCAAAACCGGTCCTAGGATCACATAACATCCTCCCACGATAAACGGTACTTTGCGCGCAACAACTAACTGTTCTTACGTGCGCGCTTGATTGAAGGTCAAGTATGGGAAGGTCAGTGTGCCTGGGCCTAGACAAGGAAGCCAAAACCAGATTTTAAGCCGGGAACCTTTTAGAGTTCAATATCCTTGTGGAATAACTGTCTCTGTCTGTAATCCCACTTTGGGAGACTTGAAATTCTATCAGTATTCATTGACTTCAGATTCAGTAATCAGTATTCAGATTAAGACAGAAAATACGTGAACACTAATTCCTCTGTTTATGTTATAGCTTGAATTTCTGTCTTATCAAGTCATTTAACTCCAAGCAAGAGGTTGCATAATACAATTTAGGGCCTGATGTTGTCATCATTATGAAAAGTATACTGATGCAGCTATAGAAAACATCTTTTCATAGATTCTCATGCACCATTCTCAAATTTCGAGTACTGAAATAGATGTTTTTTTCTTAATTTTAACAAGCCTTTGTTTTCAGATTGAAGAGTGAAGACCTCATTGCTGACGTTATTGGGAGTAAAATGTAAACATTAGTGAAATAAGTGACCTAAGTTTGTAGTGCAGTTTTAGCCGTATTCACAAAATTCACCGTGATTTATTAAAAGGTAATCTATATATATATATATATATATATATATAAATATAGTTGTAAAGTTAAGTGGGTCCACTTTTATAGGTAAAAATATCTAAAATCGTAATTTACGACAAGTGCGGGTAAACGGTGGGAATAACACTGACTATACCCTGGGCAACGCTGGGTTCCCAAGCTTGTATAATAATATATGATAATTAGATTATACAATATGCTTTGTAGCATAATAGATCGCTTAAATGATTTGGTCACGCTTAATATTGAATAATTATAGAGCATATCCTTATTTTAACATTTTACACGTTTAATAAAAAAATACAAAGCAATGCCATGATGCAAATAATTTATAATATCATGATTATACGACAGCCGAACCGTTATGTAAATAAACACTTAAATAATTGAAAAATAATGTGAACGGTATTTTGCAAATTGCACTGATGCAACCCAAGCATTCTTGCAACTAAATTCTTGATAGTTTTTACTATTTTTTGTTCCAAATGTTTACTTTGTAAAGGGGTTTATAATGATCTTAATGATCTCAAGGGACGATAAGTGAAAAATTGATATATAGGAGCAAAAAAAATGAAGGAGCGATACAAAGATATAATATAGATTATAATTTTCAATATTTTCTCCAATAAACAAATATATTTGTTTGTCATAATATTTATCCAAAAATACTTTTTTAATTATGGATGAATTTGTACTTCTTCTTATAAAATATGTTTTAAGAATATTTTGTATCTGAACATGTGTCGCGAAACGGGCTGATCTGCAATTTAAATACATCATTTATGTTGATATGAACAATATATACTTAAGGAAAAATTGCAACTATTTCTGTTTTATTTTATGCAATATTTATGGAAAAAATTATTTTCATATTTGTCTTTGTTTGTCATATAGTTTTCAAAATACATTTTATTGATTGATATATGTTTATTTTTCGGGAAAAGGTAAATATGGGTGTTTCACGTTATCAAGTTAATTGAGTAAATCATAATTTTATTTTATGCTGTAGTTTTTTTTTTATAACAAAGAACAGTATTAATGGAAGTCAATTTTTAATAATAATGAAATCAAATTTACCCTTATTTTCAGTTTGAATAACTATACCCATGGCTAATTTATGTACAATTAAAAGCCTGCTGTGTACAGTGTATAACATATTATGTACGGCATAGAATTTACGAAGTACAATGCTGTGTACACTGTTCATGTATGTACAGCAGCTTTCAGTGTTATTGTACACTTTACCGTGTACAATAACACTGACACAGCGTGTATCGTACAGCATATAGTGTACAGTGTTAACTGTATGTATGTACAGTACTGCAAACAGTTTGAAAACCATAAAACCCTTTCCCCGGCCACCCAACTGTCAAAATACCATCGAAACAGTTAGAATTAGGGTAATACATTTAAAATTAGAATTTTCAAATAAAATTTGAATTTTAACTTTAAAATTCCGACCACCCGGGATTACAGGGAATCTTCCATCTTACTTTAAATAAATTACTTTTTATTTCATGGATAATATGAAGGGGGGGGGGAGATTTAGGGGGCTGCAGGTTTCGGTTGATATTTAACCCTGTATGTGCTGTAATTTATTTGAGCATAATTTTACTCTTCTCTTTAATACCCAAGTTTCTATTTTGGGGCTTAGATTGAAAATAGGCGAGTTAATAGTAAATCTTACTGCACTTTATGGCTTCGATTCAAGCTAAAGTAAGGTTAATGGGTCAGTTGTGTCTAGGGGGGGGGGGGAGAAAGTATTGAGAGCAATTATGTTAATTGCATTTTTGTTGCATCGGTGGTGGTACTTTATGGGTGAGTTTTCTCCTTTAAACGGGGTCAGAGTCGAAACTGTAACGTTTTATGTTGAAACCAATTTTTGTGTTCAATTTCCACATTTTTATTTCAGACTTAACAATATTTTTCCATGTTCTGTTTGTCTTTCTTTGTTAATAAATGTTTTTTTTGTTGTGCCCATAACATACTAAAAATGTAATTAAATGTGCATCGCACACTAAGACGGGCATTAAAACATGCACCCTACACGTTATGTTCACTAATTGAATTGAATCTATATGAAACCCGTTCTTTGTTGTTAGAAACAAAGAAAACTATTTTAACTTGTTTAAAAACAGTTTTGAAACCTGCTTCGTTTTGCAGTACATAAATTGCTTAAGTCATTTCTAAACGATCTTACTGTTAACATTAATAATTTAACTATTCAACTTCCGGCTGGTAAACTGTACTTAGGTATTTGAATCAGTAACGTATAAATATATATATATACTTCTCAGTTGATATCGACCACTATCTTCTAACACGGCTGTATATATATATATATATTTATTTCATATATGAATATATTTAAATGTAAACTGAATTTGTTTTATGTATAATAAATAATTGGATCAGTAAATTGTAGTAAGCAGTCTCAGTTTAGTTCTCTAAAATCCACCAACTTAAATTCTATAGAATCCATCCAACCAATTACAGAATCAGGAAATGTTATGCAATTCATGTGGATTCCTTCATCCGCGGTTTTATTTTAACCAAATCATCAATACGCCCACTCAACTACCCCGCCCACCCAACCCCTTGCTTATTTAGATGTATACATGATAGATTAACATTAAACCAAACCGTTTTGAGTCTAGTATTGTTGACTAAAAATTTCACTTAGGCATGGTTTTTACCGTTTGGTTTATACAATGCACAGATGTATCACTTTTAACATATGCAACATATACAATATACATACAATCCTTGGAAGTTTTTTTAAATTTTTTTATTAATTTTTATAAAACTCTTTTTGAAACTGCTCCCTAAAGTTTAACATATCATTTTTTTCATTTTAAAATCTAGCATTAAAAAACGACTTACACTTTTTGTTGTAAGGGAATTTTTTTTCATTATTAATGATGGGGTGGGGGATAAGGTCCATGTTAAATTATGGAAAAAGCCATATTTTATTTGTGATAAAAAACCTTCATAAAATTATTATTTGATTGAGAATCATAATGATTAAAGACTAAAAAACTAGATTTTTAACTTTTCACACATTATAGTTTATTAAGACGGATATTTTTCCTTTGCACTAGGGTTTCTTTCCCTTAAGCATGCTACTGAGAAGCTATTCTGAAAATAGGAACAAAGAATTCCAAATTCAGGTGGGGCGAATGTCCCCCCGCCCCCCTGTATCCGCCCCTGTCGTTCATATATTGCCTTGAGCTGCGTGTGAGCGGATTTTTTTTGCGCATTTTTTTATAAATAATTATGAATTATTTTAACTTTACATTTACATTAATATTTTAAAGATTTTACGACACGTTAATGTTAGATTACGCTAGACCTGGAGAAATATTTAGTCGAAAAATAATTCCCTCCCCATGTAAAAGGTTTTTACCGAATCGAGCGAAGTGATTTAAGTTGGGGAAAATAAAAGTTTTGAAAAGACAAATTAATGAATTTTCAGAAAACATCACTTTTCTTAAGAGCAGTGCTTAGGATCCATTTAATTTTGATGCGGATCCAAATGCGGATCCGGATCCAGGTCATTTCTTTAAGATTTACTGATTTTTTTTAACAAAATCATTTTCAAATTTTTTGTTTTATTTTTTTCCGCTTATTTTTATCCTAAAGCTTGATGAATTATTCAGAAATGAGGAAATTTTTTGGATTTGGGTTTTAGGAGTAAAAAAGTTTTTTGCAGTTTTTGGTTATATTTTACCCCTTGGCCTGGATGCGGATCCGTGGATCCGCATATTTTTATAGCTCGTCAACTTAACTCCCCCTCCCCATTCCTTGAAAGGCCGCCGAAGACCCGCCCCTTACTGAATTTCTTTAGAATTGAACTCAGTGTTGAAATGATTAGCACGCATTCATACACATAGAACTACAAATACTGAACCATACTATTTACCATTTCTGGACAATTCTTTAAATTATTCCATTCAGTCTTTTTTTCTACTAAAATATCTATTTATTTTCCCTTTCACCGTTGTCTTTAATATTACTTCCTTTCACGGTTTTTAAATATTATTTGACCCCCCCCCCCCCTTCTGTTGATAATAGCTTCAAATTTTCTACCAAAACCTTTTGGACAGTGCAGTGCTTAGAATCCATTTAATTTGATCGCGGATCCGGATCTGGATCCTGGATTTGCACTGAAAAAAATTGATTTGGGTTTTGAGAGTAGAAAAGTTTTTTTTGCAGTTTTTGGTTTATATTTTCTGCTTTGGAACCGGATCCGTGGATCGCATATTTTTGTGGATCCGGATCCTAAGCACTGTTTTTGGATGAAATAAATGAAAATCGATTCTGTGCCTTAGTTTGCGTGATAATAAACATTTTTCTGATAAAAATATATGGATATATCCATAATTTTTGCGGGGTTGAATGTATACTCTGGTATACTCCTAAAAATACAGTATCACTTGAATTAACCGTCTACAGTCCCTTTTACGGTATTTAGGGGGCGTGGTCAGAATCGTGTGTCCAGGAGGGGGAGGGGGGGGGG